CCCAATTTTATGTTATATCCATTACTTATTTAGATACTAATATGTGCATTTCTGTCATTCGACAGGGTTACTCTTAAAAAGTATTGTGTTTTACCAGAATAATGAGGCATTTGATAGAATTAATTTTCATTATTTCTTTTATCTAGACTTCCTAACGCCTGTCAGTTCTACAGTTTATGGAATAAGCTTATTTGCCAGATTGCAGTGTCCCTTTTTTTTAAATTTCATTTTCCTTTCTGTTTAATTTACTGATGTGTAATGTGTACAGAATAGACATAAATATCACTTAGGAACTAAAAGAGAAACTACAAAGAATGAAAACTTGCTGAATGCTCTTTAACCGGTTAGAAGTAAGTACGTAAATGAACCAGCTCCCCTAGAAAGCTTCTGCTTTTTTTTTTTATTTTTGTAGGTTGTGGGACTTGAACTCTGGGCCTGGGCACTTCCCCTGAGTCAAAACAATTGCTCTACCACTTCAGCCACAGCACCACTTCTGGTTTTCTGGTGGTTAATTGGAGATAAGACTCTCCCAAACTTTCCTGCCCAGGCTGGCTTTGAATCACGATGTTCAGATCTTCAGATCTCAGCCTCCTGAGTAGCTAAGATTACAGGCGTGAGCCACAGGCACCTGGTGCTTCTGCTTTTTATTTTTTAGCATGTGTAAATATAATAGTTGGGGGATTACAAAAATGATTACAAAATCTCATATCCCAGATAGTGTAAGATGGATCAGTTGAAAATTTAATCTATGGACCAATTACCCCAGATTCCCCAGGAGCATGTTAGAATCTCTGAATTAGAATGGCTGAATTAGAATCTGCATTTGAGCTTAGAGTGTAGCTAAGTAGTGGAGTGCTTGCCTAGCACAAGGGAGGCCCTGGATTTGATCCCTGGCACTACAAAGCAAACAAGAAATCCAGAATCTGTGTTTTAACAAAATCCCACATGACTTACACATGCATTGTGGTTTAATTTAACAACCTTAGTCCAGAGCATATTTGGGGCTCTGGGATTTGTGCAAATAAATGTAGTAGATGCACTGTAGTTTTATCCCTAAAAAGGAGGAGAAGAAAACAGCTGTGCTGCTTGCTAGGAATAAGGCAAAACCTTGCTGAAAATCACTTTGTCAAGAAACTATTGTTTCCCCTTCGGATCTCTTGTCTCTTGTGTTTAGGCCTTAATTTTTTTTTTTTTAATTGTAGTGAGGTATTAGTAGGGAAATGATGTATACTGCTTAATTGAAAGCTATAGTCAGTTTCAAGTTTCCATGGTAAGTGCATCTATATACCCTAGTTAGCAAAACTGAAAATAGATTATTCTATTGATGGCCAGGGCCAACATGTTTACCCTGCCCGGTATTATTTTATAATATAAAACATAAAACATTTTATAATATAAACATAATGTTTATTTGTTTTGTGCTGACACTAGAACTTGAATTCATGGCCAGGATGCTATGCCTTAGTTTTTTCACTCAAAGCAGGTGCTCTACCCCTTGAACCACAACTCCATTTTCAGTTTTTTGATAGTTAATTGGAGACAAGAGTGTCATAGACTTTCCTGCCCAGGCTGGCTTTAAACCTCTATCTTCAGATCTCAGCCTGTTGAATAGGTAGTACTATAGGGGTGATCCACCTGGCTAAAAACATAATTTCTTAAATGAAAGCACTTACCCATGCCAGCTGTTCTTTTGTGAACTCTTTAGCCTAGAATGTACCTATATAAATATAGATATACAAATATAGATATAGATACAGAGAGAGAGAGAGAAGAGAGAGAGGGAGAGAGAGATTTATTGTGCATGTTATACTTCTCCCATGATCTAGAGGAAAAGAAACAACAATAACAGACAAATGGCCAAGCTGTTTGCTTGTTTTAAATAGGGGTATTTTGCAAGAAGGGATGTGAATCTGGGTCAGCATTATTTACAGACAGCACATGGTGTTTTGTTTCAATGAGCAGGAAAATGTTTTGTGATTAAATGTGGTTAAAAAAACCCACAAAAAACGTAGCTTTTTCCAGGGAAGCAGTAAAAGGAATTACTCACTGTAAAAAGTTCTATGAGTCATCTTTAATGTAGGGAAAATGGGCAACCAGGAAAGAAATTATGTTTTCCTGTATGATAACAATAAAAGTGAATGCACTGACAGAGAAATCAGTAGCAGCATATCCCAGGCCAAAGGACTGGGGAAATCTTTTGGGGGTGTGAAGTATTTTGTGCTTTACAGATAAATTCATCAAAATTGTGACAATAATGTAAAAACGATGATTTTTTTTTCTTTTTAGAAGTCAGGTTTATTGAGATGTAACTTACATATACTGAAATTCACTTTTGAAAAAAACTATACATTCTATGAAGTTTAACAGACACATTTGGTTATGTGACCACAATTATCACCAATGTCATCTTCCTACCCCTGCCCCTCTTGTGTTACCCACCCTCCCCCCCACCCCCAACTCAGCCCCAGGATTAAATCCTGATCTATTTCTGTTCCTATAATTCTAGTTTTTCCAAAACTGGTATACAAATGGAATCATTCAGTTTATAGACACGCGCTCCCGTGTGTGTGTGTGTGTGTTGGGACAAGAGATCGAACTCATGCTTTCACCGAGTTTTTCTGCTCAAAGCTGATACTCTACCACTTGAGCCACATCTCCATTTCCAGATTTTTGCTGATGAATTGAAGAGTCTCTTGGATTTGTTTGCCTGCTCTTGCTTTGAACCTCAGTCTTTAGATCTCAGACTCCCGAGTAGCTAGGATTACAGGCATGCATCACCATTTGGCTTAATAAGCATGGAACACTTTTGTGTGAACATTTAAGTTTTCATTTAACTCTGTGGCTAAATGTTTAAGAGTGTAGTTGTTGAGTGAAATGATAACCATATGCTCAGTTTATAAAGAAACTACTAGATTGTTTCCCAGGGAGACTATACCAGCTTACTTTCCCACCTGTTATGTATGATTGATTCCAATTTGAATTTTAGGGCTCAAATTTCAATGTGAAACTGCTAAAGTTATCTGAGATTGACTAGATTTAAAATGTAAGCCAGGTGCTGGTGGCTCACATCTGTAATTCTAGCTATTCAGGAAGCTGAGATGTAAGGATCAAGTTTGAAACCCAGCCCAGGCAGGAAAATCCATGACATTCTTATCTCCATCTAACTACCAAAAGGCCAGGCATAGAAGTGTGCCTCACGTGGTAGAGTGCCAGCCTTGAGATGGAAAAGCTTAGGGACAGGGTTCAGATCCTGATTTCAAGCCTCTGGAATAGCATGTGCATCTGCTTGTGTGAACACACACACACACACACACACATACATCCTTTAATGTTCATTTATGGCACATTTGCTAATGTGCAATTGCTTCTACATTTCCTCCTTGTTTAAATGCATAGCAGGTAGAAGCTGCGCTGTCTCTTTCTGCCCTTTGGCTGCAGCTGCATTACCTGTGGAGTCCCAGGCATCACTTGACTCTCCCAAGGATTATTATACCTGCATATGGACTTTTGTAAGTTTTATTTTGTGCTGGTCCTGAATTTGAACTCAGAGCCTAGTTCCTGTCCAATTGAGCCAGCTCTACTTCCTGCTTTTGGATAGTTATTTGGGGATAAAGGTCTCAAAGACTTTCCTGCCTGGGCAGGACTTGAACCTCAATCCTTAGATCTTAGCCTCTTGAGTCCAGGTGTGAGCCACCAGTGCCCAGCTACACTTTTTTTTGTTGAGATTTGGAAACGATGTCTGGAACTAAGTCCTTAGAAGAGCTTTGTTACTGAAGCTAACTACTTCTTCAGCCATCTGATTTCGCTTCTATTATTGCTAGGCCACAGATCTGAGCAGCCTATTACAAGGTTCCTGGATAGCAGCTAGGACCTAGAGGAGTTATGCATGTGTGGGCTTTGGAACTTAAACTTCTTGTTGGTTAGTTATTAGCAACTGCCTCCTCCCCAGACTACCACAATAGCTGCTTAGCAAAGAAGAGCCAAGGAAAAGAACCACCCAAACGCAACAGAATGTACTCATTTCTAAGCCTTTCCACCTGTGCTGCCCACTAAGGCAGTCACTACTCTGGGGCTATCAGGTGCCTAAAATGTGGCTGACACACCTGAATGGAGTTTTTTTGTTTTTTAACTTTTAGCTAAACTTAAAAATGTTAAAAAAAAATCCTGATTTTTAGGTACCACTTGGATGTGTGAATCTCCTTTGTACATACGTTGTATAAAACAAATGTGGACCAAGCATTGCCAATGGCAATTTCACTCTGGGGTATGAAGCAGATGTAAACGACACCACGGATTTCAAAGTCTTACAATTAAAAGAAGGTAAAAATATTTCATTAATATCTTTGTGTTCATGACATGTTGAAATATTTCGCATAGCCTTGGTAAAAATGTTACTAGTAAACAGATTTTACCTGTGTGTGTGTTTTTTTATTGTGAAAATTCTGTACAGAGGGGTTACAATTACATGAGCAAGATAGTGAGTACATTTCTTATCAAGCATTGTAGCCTCCTCCTTTGTTTACCCTTCCCATCCCTTCCCAGCCCCCCCCCCCAAGTTGTTGTAAAGTTCATTTTCAACATGACAACTTGTACTTCTAATTGTTGCAACGGATCCACCTGTATCCTTATTTAAACGACTTGTTTTTCCCCTTCCCCTCCATAAATTATACCGACATCAAATACAGTGAAAGCAGGGGTTATACTGTGGGGGAGGGACATACAAAGCAACAAAGAAATAATCTTATAAATGCTTTAGAAACAAATGCATGAAAGAAAAAAAAGCATTTAAATACATATCTTAGGGTTCATTTTCCTAACATCACCTTACCTGTGTTTTTAATGTTCTCAACTCTGCGGCACCGACACCCACACCTCGCTTACAGACCTCCTCTAGGAACCTCCTAGTTCCCTAGGCCTGGCAATTCCCGATGCGGCCACCAGAGGGAGCCCGGTCGCAGCTCGTTCCCCGGAAGTCGCCCTCCGCCCCTCCCCGCGTCGGCGGCGCGCTGAGTGACTTCCGGCGGCGCGGGCGCGGGGTCGCGGTGAGCCGGCGCGGGGCCGCGGCGCGATGACCACCCTGCGGGCCTTCACTTGCGACGACCTGTTCCGCTTCAACAACATGTGAGTGACCTGTGGGCGCTCCGGGTCGCTCGCTTCTGGTCTGGTCCTGCCAGTCCTAGCCCGGCCGCGCCCTCCCGGCCGGGACGCCCTCAGCCCGGGCGGGGGACGCGGGCGCCGTCCTCGGGGCGCCGCGGGGTGGAGGTGCGCCGGCCTCGCTCACCTCGGCCCAGCCGTCACCCCACGTGTCCGTGGGGCCGGGCTGACGTCCGGGGACGCGGGGGTGGGGAGGACGCGCGGGGGGGACGGCGGGCCGGGGGAGCGGGCCGGGCTCGCGGCGCCCCGGGCGCTGTCCGGCCCGCCGACCCCGGCCGGAGCGCGTCCCCGCGGAGCGGCCGTGTGAGCTCGCAGGCCCGCCCCGGCACGGGCGGTCCCTGTCGGGTCCGTGTCGCTGGAGTGACGCGCCCCGGACCGGACCTCTTTCCTCTCTCTCTCTCTCTCTATGGAGTGGTGGAGTGGGCAGAGGCTTGGGGAAGACCCCGCTTTGCGCACACCGTCCCCCCCCCCCCCCTCCAGGCAGTCTCTTCCAATCCAATTTAAGACCCGTGACTTGCCAAGTACCAGTTTCCAAAAGAAGATACTTTAGCGTGGAGATTCGATGAGCATCCTGCTGAAAGGTTATTTATTACTGTTTGAGGCGCGCTCCTGTCCAAACACCTGCCTGGCTCCTGCGCTTGACGTTTTGCCTACCCGGCCTTTGTCACATTTCTGCCTGCGCACCTATTCCTGATCCACCTTTTTTAAAACCATCAGGGCAAGTCAGTGCCGGGTAACCAGAGACGAAGGGGTTGTGACTCAAGTGTCAGGAGGGCGGGAAGAGCTTGGCAATGAGGCGATTAGGAATCTCTCAAAGAGTCGCCGCAAACCTTGAAACACGAAGAAGGTATTGGGAGGAAGGAGTTGAGGCGCACTGGTGAGAATAGGTGTGGTTGGAAAACATAGATCCGTGTGAATACAGTGATTGGTGTCTGTAACTGAGCAGTCAGGGAGAAAACAGGTGAAACACGTCTTTGACTCTTGTGGATGGATGGAGATTTTTTTTTTTTTAATCCTGTGGGAACGTTGTATGGAGCCTGTATTGAATTGTTACTATCACCTATACCTGTTCTCAGGGCTTATGGAATAATCCTTAGCCTTTACAATTCTGTGGTGTACTGGTGTCTCTTTTTGGTTTGAGTCAAGGCTACCGCTCTACCACTTAAGCCACAGCACCACTTCCACTTTTTCTGCTTATGTGGTGTTGAGGAATCAAACCCAGGGCCTCATGCATGCAAGACAAGCACTTTACCGCTGAGCCACCTTCCCAGCCCCCTTGGTAGTTCTTAAAAAAGTAGATCCCTGACCTCAGAAAATATTTTAGGCATTCAGATTGTCACTTGGAGAACTACTGTTCTATGTTGAGACTCCATAGAATTGTTCCCAGGACCCATCATGGACACCAAAGCCCAAGGATGCTCTCAAGTTCCTCATTTACAATAGTGTTGTAGTATAAATGCCCTGAAAACCTCTCATGTAGTCTCTAAATTAATAATAACGCTCAATATATAATGCAAGTGCTTTGTAAATATTTCTTATAGTGGTGGTTAGAAAATAAATCTGTGCAAGAAATATGTGCACGTACAGTTGTTCTATATGAAGTTACACATAACTTAACCAGTGAACTCAGTGGGAGTATGAGGGATTGGTGGTGTGGCCTGTCAGGTTTTTATCCTAACTCGGGGTGATGTCCCTTCTCCTTGTTGCTAAGGAGTAAGGCTCATATTTTCTTTACATTTATTAATGGGTAATGGGATAACATAAGGAGGTTAGAATGCACTCAGCCATCCAGTGAAAGGTTCCTATGGGGAGGGGTGCTGTTTTTTTGAGGCAAAGGTGCACATTCTTGTCATTGCTAGAAATGGGTCTGGGAGCAGCGCTGCTGATGGCCACAGTGGAAGGAGGTTGGTAAAGTCAGTGGGAAGTTCCCACCTAAATGAGTTCTATTCTTTAACTCCATTGGTAAGGACTCATACCTTTGACATGGTTGGCTACTTAAAAACAACACATATTTGTACATTTTCCCCCTTGGCCTGGTAAGGTATGAGGTATAATTAATGTCTACGGAAGGTAATTTGATAGTCCTGGTGGGGTGGGTAACCTACAGGACTCTTGGTCTCTGGGAACAGCAGTGACAACATCCTATAGGACTCCTCAATATTAGTGCCTAGAAAAAATCCCTAATACATGTTGTGCCTTTTGAATTAGAGTGCCACCACAGCAGGAATGGGATGGCTTGAGCCTTTGGTCTTTCTGTCACACAGACCTAACAGTCACTCTTATTTAGTGTGCTGACAGAATATTTAATCCCATTTAGCCAGGCGTTGGTGTCCCCACACCCAATTTAACAGCTGTCTGTCTTAGATCCTGCATTTATCACTCTGTTGTCTTGAGTAATACTTGGTTTGTCTATTATGTTAATCCTAATCCTTCCTACTGGATCCTTTCCAGTTGCATTTATCCCAAACACAAATACCCTTCCTACTGCTCTAAAATCCTAGGGTAACAGTGCTTTTTGATTTTTGTATCTGGTAGCAAACCAGTCACCTTCCTGAGTTACTGTAACCCCTATGGGATATATGAGATATATAAACCCTTTGGGCTCAGGACATAAATGCTTACAGCTGAATGAGTAATAGTCTCTTTTTCCAGTTCATGGCTTGTCATGCATCAGACTTGATGATTTGAGGGTACTATTAGTAATATTAATGACTAAGGGGACCTGAACCTATTGGGACTGGGCCTTTTTAGGTCCCTACCAGCAGCTACCAGATAATCTTACCTGGGGAATTACAGTTTTATTGTTAGCTTAGTACTTTCTGAGTATGAGATGACTATCTGTTCTACTGGGTCTGGAGTTGGAGTCAGTTTCTTTAACTCAAGGATGTAACTCTTTTCAGCAGTCTGAACAGCATATGTTTAAGAAGACCAGGAAGGGTCCCTCCCAGGCTGGCTTAAGCTTGCTTTTCTTCTAGGTCTAGATCAGCAATAGGTTGATGAGGATGAACAGGAAAGTTGATGAGGGAATTTTGCCAACAGCTCCCCCCCCCCCCTTTTTTTTTTCTAAGAGAGAGCAAAGTAGAAGACCAAATAGTTGTGAGCCTGGAAACTGATTGACTTGCTTGGAGACTCTGACAGGGCCCTGCAGCAGGGTTACAATGTTTTTGTTTTTTAGGTTTTTGACCTCAGAACTAGTGAGGGTGATAAATCCAATATCCCCTTCCCGAAGGGGAATCTCTATTCAAGGAACAGACTCAAGTGAAGATGGAAGAGACCCTGGGGTTGACAAGAAAAGCCAGAGATGAGTAAAGCCAGATGTAGGCCACAGCACCTTGTTCCTATGTTTTCTGTGCCTGATCCCAAAATCAGTGCTTCGGGATCAGTGTATCACCCAAGGCAAAACTGTTTTATTCCCAAGACTGCCCAATAGTGGCAACTATTCTCCTTTTGTTGCCCACAAGGTTTAGGGTGGGGGAGCCTCTTCTTATAGAGAGGTAAAAAGACTTCGGTCCCTACATAACAGCAGGGCCTCCTCAGGGGAATGTGTAGTGTTGCTTGGGATTCCTGGAGGTCTGATGCTCAATCCAGCCCTGGAATATCTGGGTATGTGATGAGCTTGGCATGCAGGCTCCACCCTTCAGTGGGTACCCTGCCTGTTCTATCTAGAGAGAAATGAAGAGAAAACCTGCTAGAGAAAAGGGGAGGTTTTCAAAGTCTCAGGTGAATTGTTTTTAGGGCAGTGAGGGACAATGACTAGGGGAGTGGGAGGGAGAAAGGAACTGGGGAACTGGACTGGTGCCTGAGCCAAGGAGGTAGGGAACTTACAGGAGGAAAGGAAAGACAGTGGATCTCAGTCTGGAGGATTTGTCTAGACTTCTCTTTTCCTTGGATATTTCTTTCAATCCTTTTCACTTAGCTCCTGTCCCACCAGGGGGTTTAGGCACCTCAGCAAATTGGCAAGTCACCCAGCCTCAGTTAGATTCAAATAGAATCCAACACAGCCATTAGTCACAAGAGCTTGCTACCGTAGGGTAGATCAGGATTTCATCCTTATTTGTGCCACCTGCCACCTCTCATTCACACATACCATTTTTCACAGTCCTAAACACCAGAGCAATATTTTGTCACCCCAGTTTCTTGCCTCTGGCCCATGAATAGACTTACAGGGTCATCACAATATGTGTCTTTAGAGCTCCTTTACCCACACTGGTGAAGTCTCCAGGAGTCCAGGTTTATATGCTGATCCAAGAAGTCACTTGTGCCAGCCCAACCACAGGGCTGCCACAAGCAGGCAGCAAGATGTGTCTCCCCTGGAGGGGGAGCTAGGGCCTCTCCTTCCCCGATGGAAGAGGGATTCCAGAGGAGTCACCTACTCTTGGAAACTCACAACCCCCTGGTGTAAAGACAGTAACACACAAGAGTTACATTTTCCCAAGGCATTCAACTTTTGTACAGAAGGATGTTCTGCCACTCTCCCCAGAGGTAGGCAGGCACACTAGACAGGGTGGACTGCTTCATTTTATCCTAACTCAAGGGGTGACAGTCCTTCTTGTTGCTAACAAGTCAGGTTCATCTCTTCTTTATGCTTGGTTATACAAGGAAGTTAGCACTGAACCATCAGTGAAAGGTTCCTACAAAGATGGGGGAATACTGCCCTTTGAGGCGAAGATGCACATTCTTGTCACAGGTTGCTGGGAACAGAGCTGGTGATGGTTACAGTTGGAGGATGGTGGTAAAGTCAGTGGAAAGTTCCCAATCAAGGGGGTTCTATTCTTTAACTCCATTGGCCTTTGACATGCTGGCTGGTTACAAAGAACACAGGTGACAGTTACAATTGAAGTGAAGAAGCAAGTCATTCCAGCAAATTATCTGTACCAGGAAATATTAGTATGCAGTGGTGACTGGTTACAAGATGGAGACATTTTAGTTTGACAGAAAACCTTGTTTCTTCTCATAGAAGGTAAATTAGGGAAGCCATCTGATTTGACAAAGGTTTAGAGTTTGGGAGGTGACATAGTACCTGAAGATTCGGCAATAAACAGGCTAAGTCTTCTGGCCAGTTTGTTTAAACTGGTTAGTTTTAACCCTGTATTATATGAAAATGGATAGAGAAAAAATTATATGCAGACACTTAAAATATTACATTGCAGATCACCTGATGTGCTAAGGCCTCTTCAGAATATGTCACTAAGGGAACTCCATCTTCCTACTACTTTTACTAGGTCAGTTTGTTAGGAAATAAAAAAGCAATGGGTGTAGACTACTGCAATTAGTCAACCATATTCATAGAAAAATATTTGAGTGCCTACTATGTGCCAGTATTAGAAACAGCAATGAGCAGAAATGTTGGTGTCTTTATGACACTTATACTTTAGAAATAAAACCTGGGAAACTAAGTGTTGAGTTAAAAAAAAACAAAAACAGAAGGGTGAGAGGAGATTCAGCTGACAGAGACGTGGGGAAGTTAGGGAAGTGAATATGGAGCAGATGCCTCCCAGACAGATGGAACATCAGTGCAAAGTTCATACGAACAGGAGGTGGTGGCCAGAACACCTGGAGTGCATGCAGAAGTGTAAATGATGATGTCAAACTACAAGGCCAAGGTCTTGTGAAGACTTGGGCTTCTCTGCCAAGTGCATGGAGACACATAGGTGGAGTGGTCACGTGGCATGGGAGTCTGAAGTCTGGAGTAGCATTTTAGCTTCAGTGCTATGTAGATGACGACAGGTGACCAAGAGGCTAGATCACACCAGTTATGGAACATGAGTGTAGAGAAAACAAAAGCCTCTAGGAAATACCCAGGGATGTCAAGAGCCGGAGTAAGGAAGACTGAATCCCAACTGAGGAAAACCCAGTGGTAGGGTCTCAAGCCCATGAGACAGAAGTTCAGGCCAGAGTGGGGAACCGTGTCAAGCTGCCAGTAGCTAACTGTGCATCATATTTGGTATTTCTTCTAGGAAAGGGGCAGAAATTTCTCTCTTGACAAATGCCAAAGAGAAAGAATTGAAGGGACAGTGTTCTGAGTAGGGGTAGTGTGCTAGGTCTGTCAAGTACTCCACTGTGTGACAGAAGAGCCAGAATCATCTGTGGGCTCAGTGTGTGACTTTGGTGGAGCTTCTTTCTGCTGCACTGTTGAGATGAGATAGCATGTTGGGAAGCTGAGCTGAGGATGGAGGATATGAAATAGCCAAGAATTGTGGGCCAGGGTGCCAGGGCTCCCCAGGATTGCTTCAGGACTTCTGCAGGGCCAAAGCTGTTTTGATCCTGGTTTTTTGTCTTTTTATACTCATTTCTCACAACAGTACATGTTAATATGCAATTTTTTTTTCTTTTGCTTTTTTGTTCTCAGTCGTGGGTCTTGAACTCTGGGCCAGCATGCTGTCCCTGAGCTCTTTTGCTCAAGGCTAGTGCTCTACCACTTGAGCCACAGCACCATTTCTGGTGGCTAACTGGAGATGAGTCTCCGGGACATTTTTTTTTTGGCAGGGGAGGGGGGGTCTGGTCGTGGGGCCTGAATTCTGGGCCTGGGTGCTGTCCCTCAGCTCTTCAGCTCAAGGCTAGTGCTCTACCACAGCGCCACTTCCGGCTTTTTTCTTTTTGCTTATGTGGTGCTGAGGAATCGAACCCAGGACCTCAGGCATGCAAGGCAAGCGCTCTACCACTGAGCCACCTCCCCAGCCCCTCTCCGGGACATTTCTGCCCAGGCAGGCTTTGAATTGAGATCCTCATATCTCAGTCTCCTGAGTAACTAAGATTACAGGCATGATCCACTGGTGCCTGGCTAATACGCAGTCCTTTCAAGTGACTGTTTTACATTGTAGAATATAAATATATAGCCAAATAAACACAAGCTTAGCAATGTTTTAGTGTGAAAGGGATTTTGGAAACCAAAATGGTTGGAGAACTACTGAACTAGAGAAATGTAGTGTGACTGTCTAGAATCAATCATTGAGTCCCAAACAAAAATCTGACTAGGAATGGAACAGTTGAACCTAACAAAATAGAAATAGTAAGGGGTACAGTTAACTGAATGGGAAGAACCAAAACTGGTTGAAGACGGGTATTGGTTTTAAGAATGTTAATTTGGGGAACATGTGCTAGGAAATGCTGGGAGGCACCCTCAGTACTAGGGTAAAGTTGAAGGAACAGCGTTAGTGGGAATGGAGAAGCAAAAAAGTGTGGAGAATGCCAACAATTAGAAGGTGGAACAGGAAGAAGTTGTGAGGAAAGACCCTTTGTCTAGACAGGTAGGCGGATTCTTGTGGAAAGATACTAGCAACAGGCAAGTTTGACTGTGAGTCTTGTGACTCCCTGTTCTTAATATTTTTTTATTTAGAAGAGAGAAACTTCTGATGGAATCATTATTAAAGCAGCAGTTAAAATGTATATAAGTGCCAGGTGCCAGTAGCGCATGCCTGTAATCCTATCTTCTCATGAGGCTGAGATCTGAGGATCAAGGTTCGAGGCCAGCCTAGGCAGTTAAATCCATGTGACACTTACCTCCAATTAATCACCCCCCAAAATGAAGTGGAGCTGTGGCTCAAGGTGGTTGAGCACAAAAGCTCAGGGACAGCACTCACACCCTGAGTTCAAGCCCCATAACATGCCAAAAAAAAAAAAAGTATGGATACTTTCATATTTGCTGCTTCATAGCTGCTAAGTAGTTGAAAGTGTATATTAAGCACATTTTTATTTTCCTTGTGGCATATTTAGTTTTAACAAGTTTTACAGTTTGTGAACACTACTTACTATTGATATTTCTCTTGTTTCTTCCAGTAACTTGGATCCTCTTACAGAAACTGTATCCTTTTTGTTAAAAAAAAAAAAAAAAATGGTTTGCCAAGAGCAAAGAAAACAAAAGGAAAAACAGATTGGGTAATGAAAAATTTAAAAATTCCTAACTGGGAAAGCAAACCACACTGAAAAAATGAAACAAATGGTTGCCTTAAATCTGCCTGACACACTGTTATATAAATCAGTAACATTACAGCTCCTCTGACCCTTAGTGGTAAGCATGCTGCACACAGCAGAAAGTACAGTGACCTCAGGAAGACAGCTTATTTTCTTCTGATGTGAACAAAGTATGGAGATGACAGCCCGTTCTGTGAAAGCAGTGGTTTCATAAAATCAGCAGCAGCCAGGTTCTTGTAGTTCATCCACTCTACCAAGGTAGCCTTAATTTTCCTGTTCCAGATGACTGCCAAGGCAAACCATCTCATATGCGTTTCTGGCAGAAGAATCGACAGGGGAGATGAGTGTCCTTCCCTTATAAGGGTATCTTTGGGAAGCACCATTCAGACCTGAGTCTCACTGATCAATGGCTCCCTCCTCCACTACCTAGTTCTTTGGTACGTCAAGGTTTGATACTAAAAGGAATAAAAGACTTGGAATAACAGCTGGCAATTTCTATTATTCTTCCAATAAAAAATGGTCAAAACTATGTAAAGACAGAGTATTCTTGATTATGCTTAAATAATACGACAACGTTCACAATCTGGCTTAAAACACAAATTGGACTTCTGGATTCTTTTTGTGCCCCTCCACCTGTTAACTAGTAATTTACCAAAAGAGAATTGCAGAGACTAATGTACATACTAATTTACCAAAAGAGAATTGCAGAGACTAATGTACATACTAAGAATACCTGAGTTCAGTCTCACCAGTCAAAAGATACAGAAGCTGAAACAAATATGAGGAGCCATGTTTACGATATTGGAACTCAGTGCTTCACGATGGTGAGTTAAGAAATAATATAAAATTTTAGTGACCTTACTAATTGGTAGTTATTCCTAGAAGGCTCTTTGGAAATGTAATGTATCATAATTCCATTTCCTGAAAGCTAAAAATGTTATGAAATAGAAGCAGCTTATGTCAGAAGTTGGTAAACAAAGGTCATTGGGCCACATTTGGATGCTTGCTTGTTGCTAGCAATTTTTTACTGGAACATGTCCATGGTGTTAAATAGCTGCACAAATTAAATTGCATTTGTGAGACTTTTTTTTAAAAAAAATTGAGTAATTTATGCCACATATGGTTGTCTGGCAGGAGGGAGATTTAACTTGTCTCTTCATGCAAGTGAATAAGTAAAAATTAACAGCAGTAAAAATTAACTGCAGGTACAAGCAACATGACAATATATCAAAGTTGAGTGAAAACTAAAAAACAAAACAAAAAAACAAAGCCTTTCAGGATTTCACTGTCCAGTAAAAGAAAATGTTAGGATGCGAGTTAATTTAGATGGTGTGCCTCCAGTGACTAAAGTTTACAGTAAAAGTCTCAATGTACAAGTGAGTACATGTTTGAACATAACTTGCTGGCTCACCCTAGTGGTTGATTTAGGAGGCCAGAGATAGGATGGCTGTTTCTGGGGTTCCTCTTCTAGGCAGAGGAGAGGTGGTTATGGTTATCAATGGCTGGGTGGCCACGTCAAGGGTTGAGGAGTTCTCAAAGCAATGGTAAACACTGAAGAGGTTTCCCAAGAACGCTTTCATGTATTATTGATGATGTTCTCTTAAAGAATTACACCATAAAACAAATACAGCTGTAAGGACACCCCAGAATTGAAGAGTTAAGTGATAAGCAAATTATCTCAGCATTTACTCTTCTTGATCAGCTTTTAGCTGAGCTGTTAGAAATTGAATCAGTTAACATCTCATTGCTGGAACAAAAGCAAGAACTAGCCATTAATTTTCCAATCCAGTTAGGGAACCATAAATGTATTGAGCATCCGCTATGTGCCAAGCACCAGAGAGTAAACCTGACATCCACAGTTCAAGGGAAGACACCCGGCGCACAAGTAAGAGTCTCAGGTGATAATAAATGCCACCCAGAGACATTCCCAGTAGGGAATCAGACTTGACAAGAACTTTGGAGGCCTGGTTTTAGGATGATGTTTTATCTCTTACGGTATTTTGTTTGGGAAAAAAATCAGTGCTAAATATTCCATGTTAATGTCTTATAGAAAATTTTCATATGTAGAATTGAGGATGATAAAGTTACAACTAATATACTTTTTAAGAAAACTTTTTTTCAGAATTTCCCTTTAAATGAAGAACTTCTTATTGTCCATTACTTTTCACATTCCTTAACAGGACTCTAGTATGGGATTCCTTTTTACTTACAGTATCTTGCCCACTGGCCAGAGTATTTCATTGTTGCTGAGGCGCCTGGTGGAGAATTAATGGGTTATAGTAAGTATAATACTTGTAGTACTTTTTAGGGCAGGTAAGATTTTTAATACACGATTTCAACCTGACTGCTTTATGATATACAAATGGAGGCATCATATTCATGATGTCCTTTAATTTTGATGCCTCCCAATTCTATATTTCAGTCATTCAACACGACATTTGTCTCTTCAGTTTTAGGCATTGTGTTAGGTCCAGGGTATGTAGCTGTGAACCTAACATAAAATCATCTCAAGTCATCTTGGATCTTTCCTTCTGTATGTTAAATTTGTTTTTTTTTTTTTTTTGGTATATAATGCAAGGTTTTAAGGCATCATCATTTACTCAGTTGCTTTGCTAACAACTTGAGCTATGAGGTATCTGCTATATGGACATACTCACTAGAAATGTTAGATGTATGTGAGATACATATTCAGGTCCTTTGTTCAAAATTAGTTGTGTTTTTACTCTATCATTTTTTTTTTAACATTACCTAAATCTATCTCTGGAATGAAACATATAAAAGTACTAATCATTAATTGATGGTTTCAAAAACTTAAAAACCCTGTCATTAGTTTCCCTTTTTGGTGGGCTCTGTAAAACCAACCAAATCATCTGGTACATGGTGGGACAAAACTACATATGCTTTGTGTCAGTTGCCTATTGCTGTTTGCCTGTATTGATAATTTTGTTATCCAAATGGCCCTTGACAGAAAAAAGGTTCTCCCCACTTCTGCTTAACAGTGATGCATCAAGCACTGACTACATTCTGTGTAAATCAGTGTGTCTTAACTATTGCATGTATTTTTTGTTGATAGTTATGGGTAAAGCAGAAGGCTCAGTTGCTAGAGAAGAATGGCATGGACATGTCACAGCTTTATCTGTTGCCCCTGAATTTCGACGCCTTGGTTTGGCTGCTAAACTTATGGAATTATTAGAAGAGATTTCAGAAAGGTGAGATCTTGTTTTTCAAACACATTACTTTATAATTTAGGAACTCTAATCATCTATTTGTTGAACATTTATAGGATTATAGTTCTCACAACAATTCTGTCACTCAGAAAGAATGGTATTATTGTTTCTGGTTTGCAAAGTGAGGCCTGTAAGCTGCAGAACTGATCAAAGACCAGCCTTCAAGTAATGTTTCTTTTAATGTTCTTGTCACTAAGCAGATGCTCTTGAATTCTCTTCAGATTGCCCTGGACATATTTTTTGGTGTTCCTTGTTGTTTCTTCTTTTCTTTTTAAGAGAAGATTTCATTATGTAACCCAGACTGGCCTCTTGATTGCTAGAAATATAGATATGCTCAAGCTAAAATGTATTTTTATTTAAGCCATGGGTTTTAATGGGTATATACCTGTTGGGCACTAAATGACTTTAAACTATGGAACAGATTCAGTACATACAACTACCTACACTCCTATTTTCCATTGATTGTTGTGTGTGTGTTCTATTTTTTAAATCACAAAAAAGTGATAGGAGCTCCTATCTTAGGAGAGAAAGAAATGTCTCTGATCAAGAGAATAGGTGGAGAGACAGTTCTGGAGACTTATTACAGTTTCCACACAGTTATTATTAGCTTTAATAAAGGCAAGTTTTAAAAGAAACAATTGTGGCTATAAATGTTCTGTTTCAAGTAGAACATGAATTCAGAGACTTAAGGACCTGAGTGGTGAAATGAAGATCTATGCTAGTCTTTGATTTTCAAAAAAGTTTTTTAACACGGTATTACTGATATCTGTTGGGGGAAAAGAAAAAAGCAGGGGCTGAGAATGTGGCTTAGTAGTAGAGTGCTTGCCTAGCATGCATGAAACCCTGGGTTAGATTCCTTAGTACCACATAAGCAGCAAAAGCTGAAGTGGTGCTGTGGCTCAAATGGTAGAGTGCTATCCTTGAGCAAAAGCAGCTCAGGGAGAGTGCCCAGGTCCTGAGTTCAAGTCCTAGGACAGGCAAAAAAAAAAAAAAAAAGCATTACTGTGTGGCAGAGAGGGAGCTAGAAATGGGGTCTAAAACTGCGTTCCACATATAGAACTTATTATCTGAGTAGAAAATTAAGTTCCCTTTTTAGGATGACGTTTAAGGTATCTGCTTATATGTATGTATCTTTACATGTATACATTAAAGAGGAACTAGCAAAATACTAGTGGACTCAGGATTCCCGTAGCAATAGAGTGCTTACCCAGAATGTGAAAGGCCCTGGGTTACATCCCCACTAGCACAGAGACCGAACTGCCTATATTCTGTTTAAGAAAAAGAAAAAAATTTAAAGTAATGCAAATTGTAATAAAGATGGCATGTGTATTGGTAATAGTTCCATTATAGCTGAAGCAAGGGTCACTGCATATAGAAAAACATGAAACAACTGAATATATACCCAGAAACAGATTCAGAGAACATTCTGGCAGAAATGGTTAAGGATACAGAGCAAATTCAACAAACCTTTTCTGGGTCAGTATCTTCAGGCTTTTCAGGGCACCTAATAATATCTGTTGCATAGTATTTTAAGTAACCTATCAAACTAAGTTTCAAACCAGCAATCTTGCCTCAGGATTTTTAAAAATTGGTTATAGGCTCTGAACTTGGGGCCTAGCTAGGCATTGTCTTTGAACTTTTTCACTCAAGGTTAGCCCTCTGAGCCACAGCACCACTTCTGGTGGTTAATGGGATATAGGAATCTCATGGGATTCTCCTGCCCTGGCTGGCTTCAAATCATGATCCTTAGATCTCTGCCTCCTGAGTAGCTAGGATTACAGGCGTAAAGCACCGGTATCCAGCTGACTCATAGAATTTTTAATCAGTAGGCAAAACTATTTATGGTAGGAATGTATTAAGTAGGATTCTACTTCTTATTTATCTGAAATTCATAAGCAGAAGAAACTAGTAGATGGTAAATTTATAGTAGACAGGAAGGAGAGTCTAGAAATGAAAGGTAGGACCTGAATGAGCAAGGGGATGTTACTAAGCAGAGACTTGGCTGTTACTTGCTTCCTTTACCTATACTTGGGCCATGGCCACATAGAAATTTAATTTTTAGGAACCAGGTTTGTACTGAAAAATGATTGCCATAAATCCTAAATAATTAAAATTGCTTTTAGATCATCAATAATAACCATTCTGAGTAGTCCTATTACTTCCTAACATTTTCTCTTTTTTTGTTTAAAGAAAGGGTGGATTTTTTGTTGATCTTTTCGTACGAGTGTCTAACCAAGTTGCAGTTAACATGTACAAGCGGCTGGGCTACAGTGTATACAGGACAGTCATAGAGTACTATTCAGCCAGCAATGGGGAGCCTGATGAAGATGCTTATGGTAAGCTCCCTTTCCTGACAGTAACTCCAAAAGAAGTATAGTCTTAATAAATTTAAGATCACATTTGATCTTTTAATATACCTTAGTTATACTTAACTCCTATAGATTATTACTTCACTGTTAATAAAAACAAACATTGATAAGCTACTTCCTGGGTGGGTTCTGGTTAGGTCTTTTGGGAACTTTAATCGATATAACTAAAACCTATTGCTATTCATCCTAACAGATATGAGGAAAGCACTTTCCAGGGATACTGAGAAGAAATCCATCATACCCTTACCTCATCCAGTAAGGCCTGAAGACATTGAATAACCATAGGCAGTGGTTCTTAGGCAGATGTTCCAGATAGTTTGTAGTCTATGTATTTTCAATGGATGACATTGGAGCTCTATTAGGAGAAGTAAGACTTCAAGAACATATACCGATTCCAACTCTCATTCATTGTTTTACAGCAAATAGGTTTGCTGTAATAAAATCCAGTCAAGAAGGCAGCTATGAAGTAGGATATGTTCCACTATCATGGTTCACAATAGGCATATTGCTCCAGCCACCTCAATTCTGTGCCTGAGAACCACTGCTGTATATACATATATTTTTTATTTTGTACTGAACTGTTGATTGAAGCTTTAAAAGCATATATAAAATGTATAAATTTAGATGTATAATAAAATACATTGTTGACTATGAATGTTTTCTGAAAGATGTGAACATCTGAAATGATGTCTGCCCAGATAAGTTAAGATTTCCTTCTTTCTGCCTACCTGTTTTTATACTGATGGTCCTGGATCCGTTCTTCTACTACTTCTGTGCTTAAAGTCTGCTTTTTCAAGAGGAAAAAACATTATCTCCCCAAACCATATAATTGGATCATACATACCATGTATTTTTATGTGCAGTTTCATTACCTGTAATATGGGAAATACCCATAGAGTAAAGAAAATTCTATACTAATTAAAAATATGTATGTACATACATGTATGTATATATACGTATGTACATGTATGTATATATACATATATATACACACATATACATACACACACAATAGGAAATTAGGGTCTTGCTGGCTGTACACACTGGCTTGGAACTCCTGGGTTCAAGTTACCCTCCTGCTTTAGCTTACTAAATAGTTGGGACATACTCCACCACAGTTTGTTACAAAGCTTTAGGGAAAAATTAAGCCTTTAGAAAAAAACCTTGAGTTGGCAGAATAGCTCAAATGGTAAAGAGCCTAGACAAGTCTTTTGGTGATACACTAAAGTAGAAAGAACATTTTGTTCTTGCAAGAGAAAAACTTCCTCTTAAAAGCCAATGGCACATGCTCACAGATTCGGATCTCAGCATTCTGACCCCTTAACTCTGAAAAATCACCTAAAGGATAATTAAAATCACAAAAATTCCCTCCTTGCTGGCTAACAGATCTCAGTACTCAGCATCAACTGCTCCAGTGATGAAAAACATTTATCCCACTTTCATATACTGTCTTAATTTCAAGATTAATAATAATACCAAGTAGCTCTATAGAGAAGATGTCATATAGTTTCCCAAACTCCAGCAACCTTGCATTCTTTCTGCCTGAAGTACCAATTAATACCTCCCAGTGTGCTACAGTTACGCCTACTCATAACTGACACCTAATACTTACTCTTGGTTCCTTGTGTGAGGAATACCTAAGGTAACTACATATTAAAGCTTAACATAGCACAAGAATGGTAACATTTGCTGGTATTATGAGTTATTAGAGCTAAACGAACCTAAACACATTCAGTTCTGTAAAGGAATGAATATACACAAGTGGCTGGGAGCAAATAGTTTACCGAACACTTACTGTGCACCAGGAATATTCCTTTTCTAATCTTCAGAATGTGCCATCAAAGAATTACCCCATTGAGGAAACTGAAAATCACTTAAGGGGAAGTGCTGAGAATTGAACTTTCTTTGTGACTTAACAGCAAAAATTTAGAGGTTTCAGATGGATGCATACATCTTCATGAAGAAAACAAGCATCAGAAAACTATACCTGAAAAATAATGGTATGACTGAACATGAAAACTTTTTTTAAAAAAAGACAAACACTCAAAATATGTCTGCCCAAAATAGATGCTAAGCATTACCTTAACTACATTTCCTAATACAATATATATGGCAAACATTAAAAAAGTTTGGACATAATTGAATAAAGAAAAATCAGTTAAAAATGATTTTACTTGCAACTCCCCACCCCTCACTAACACAAAACATTTTTATAATAATTAAAAAATATATCTGTCAAAGATTTGAAACCCTTTCTAGTGAAATATATATAAAAAGTTCCAGGAGTCAAGAGTCCCAAACTAAGTTTATAAAAAAACATTAAATGCTTCTTAATATGAATGAGTGTTCAAGATTCACTTTCATCAATGTCTTTATCAGGGTCTTGCTCAGCAGCCTCTTTTTCCTGTTGTTGTTTCTTCCAAAGTTTGGCCATAGCCAGAAGCTTGAGGTTAGGTTGGTTGGCAGCATCTTCTGGAAAGATGTAGTCATAGTATTCTTCCCAGCCTGCATCAGACTGAAAAAATGAAAGGCAAGTGAATGCATGGCTGAAACATGAAGGTTTCACATAAAGTGGAGAGTTTTTAACTGGGAAACAAAGTTCAGTGTTAACTGATGTTAATTTTACAAAATTAAAGGCCAATCTAAGAATTAAAGTGCCATTAATTTAGTAGCAGTCATAAATGTATGCATTACATTATTCATACTTGCCTGCAAGTTTCAGATCACTGATGTTAATTATAAATACTGCCCTAAATGGGTGGGGAACCTTTTTTAGCCAAAGTTCATTTGGGAATTTACATTTGTAGGGCCATACAATATTATCAATACAGACAGACACAGGCAGATGAAGACAAGAATACATGTCTGTCCTGTCGTGTACCAAATGATTTCCAGGGCCATATGGTTAGATGTTTTCCACCCTTGCCAGCTTCCACTCTCCCTTGACTTATAAAAAGGCCCCACTATCCGGGCATTGGTGGGTCATGCCTGTAATCCTAGCTAATCAGGAAGCTAAGACCTGAGGATCACCGTTCAAAGCCAGCTTGGGCAGGAAAGTTCAACTAACCGCCAGAACACTGGAAGTGGTGCTGTGGCTCAAGTGATAGAGCATTCGCCTTGAGCTGAAGAGCTCAGGGACAGCACCCAGGCCCAGAGTTTAAGCCCCATGACAAAAACAAAACACACCACCGCACTAAAAAGTTATCTTCCTCTAATATAAGTCCCTCAAGTTCTATGAAAAGCTAGCATTTTGATCCTGTCTTTTTATGCATAAGAGCCTGAAATGATCTCCCCATGTTCCTTCCACTAATCATACAAATCTTTAGGACTGGCTCAATGTTTCATTTCTCTCCACATTGACTTCCTGCTTACTGTTCTCTATAATTACCTTTCCCAACTAGCCAGATGGCAATTGACTTATTTCAGAATTCCATTTTAGGAAGTACATATACTACTTTAAAATACAAAGTTAAAGTCAGGTGGCTCACAACTGTAATCCCAGCTACTCAGGGGTCTGAGATCTGAGTATTGCAGTTTGAAGCAGAAAAGTCCTCATGAGGCTCCTCTCCAATTAACAACTCAAAAACCAGAAGTGATGCTGTGGCAAGTGGTAGAGAGCTAGCTTTGAGCATGAAGAGACTCAGGGATAGTGCTCAGGCCAAGTTCAAGACCCACACCAAAAAAAGAAAAATTAAAAAAGCCCCACAAAGTTCAGTCCAATGCATTTCTAATTTCATCAATGGTGAACAGTGCCAAGGAACAGCTTACCCCATCATCAGTCTGGACCTTTCTTCTCTTCTTGACTTTCTCTGGCATGAGTTTGTCTACTCTCTCCTTATCTGATACTGTTCCAAATTCATCTTCAAAGCTTCTCCAAGATTCTAGCAACATAAGTCTCTCTTCCTTTTCTTCACAATTCCGCATGGTTTTGTTAGCCTCTTCATAAATCTGTCTGCATTTAGCCACACTTCCTTCTTTTCCTGACGACAGCTCAAACTGAGCAAAACTGATCCATACCTTCAAAAAAAGTTACAGAGCCAAATTAACCATGTCACCCATAAGACCAGAATGCAGTACAATTCATAAATTTCTAGCCCATGACATCTATATATGTGTCCATCAGTGGTATTCCAAAGAACATGAACATAGACTGGGTGCTTCCTCATAAGTAATGAAGCAGTATATTTCTATAGTAAATTAGGTGTCTGATATAGTCAAACTATATTTCAGTTCTGTGACACTCAAGATATTTATATACAATATAAACTGACTATATATAAGCTTAATGTTCTAAAATCTTGAGACTTAAGAAAAATAAGCTCTCTCCAAAATCAAGGAAGATATTTAAAATAAATTTTCTTTAAAAATCACTTAAATACAGTATAACTTTTAGGACTGCTGGTTCTTGCAAAATCAAAGATTTACAAGGCACAGGATACCTTGACATGTTGTGTTCGCTGGAGCAACTGTCGGTAAAGATTTCGTGTTCTTTCAGTTTCTTCCTGCTCAATTTCAAAGTCAATGTATGATTTCCAAAGCACCTAAGAAACAGCATAATGAGTCAATCCTGACACTGAGTTAAATGGCATTGAGTAGAAGCATGTTGTTATCATTGTAACCTACATCTAGGAACATGGACTTTTATGCCACAATTAACAGACTGCATGTGGGTAAAATAAGCTTGTCAAAACTTAGCTAGACTTCTACAAGATACAGGAAAAAAAAAAAGACCTTAGATTCAGTTTTAAGTTCACTTCTAGGTACTTTCATGATCCTTCCACATACAATAACTTCTCGAAGAAAATATACCAAGTCAGCCACTACATATGTTTGTACCTCCACTGCAAATTCCTTGTTACCTGAGTTCAAATTAAAAATGTTTAGTTATAGCCTGTCAGGGCACAAAGATAAATGGCCTGCACACCTAGGAACTAGCAGTTCAGGGCAAAGGATGAGATCAACAGAACCAGGTGATACAGAAAGCCCCACCCTAGTAAGGTCAGCGAGGCTTGAAGCTTAACATACAGGGTCCTGTTAACCTGGCTCTTGTTAGACTCAAACTGGTCCTAGCTGGCTGTAGTGTGGCGCCATCTTGTGGCAAAACTATTCTAGACTATAGGGTGTGCATTCACTACTCTCATCCCTTTATACTGCTAAATGCAGTTCCTGGCAGTTTCTTTGCCAGGCTTTTTCCACATTCCCTTTAGCCTTCCTTTAACCATCCACTCCATTTTATCCAAATTCATCTGTGTTTAACTGCTCTGGTCTACATGTAGGGGGCTGATTTTAAAGCTGACTCATCAGCACTTCCTCCTGCCTTGCAAATAGAAAAAAAATGTTAACCTGAGACTAGGTAATTTGGGTCATCTCTGTACTCTGAAACACCAAACAAATTTAAATAGGTATAGGATACTAAAGAACTGTGTAGAAACTACATTGAAATTGAGATCCTCACCTCTGGCATGTCTAAGCGTGGCTGGCTGATGGCTAATTCATAGATTGCCCGGGCTCTCTCAATATCACCAAGGATTGTCTCTAATTCTGCAAATTTAATCCATGAGGTACAATTTTCAGGTCCAAATTCCAAGAACTTTTCATAAAGCTTCCGACATCTGTCAAATTCTCGAAGCTGTAGTTCCAATTCTATGTAGCCTT